TTGTACGGCAACGTTTATGAAAATCATACATATGAGATTGTACGGCAACGTTTATGAAAATCATACATATGAGATTGTACGGCAAAGTTTGTGAAAATCATACATATGAGATTGTACGGCAAAGTTTATGAAAATCCTACATATAAGATTGTACGGCAACGTTTATGAAAATCATACATATAAGATTGTACGGCAACGTTTATGAAAATCATACATATAAGATTGTACGGCAACGTTTATGAAAATCATACATATAAGATTGTACGGCAAAGTTTGTGAAAAGCATACATATGAGATTGTACGGCAACGTTTATGAAAATCATACATATGAGATTGTACGGCAAAGTTTATGAAAAGCATACATATGAGATTGTACGGCAACGTTTATGAAAATCATACATATAAGATTGTAAAGGCAACGTTTATGAAAATCCTACATATAAGATTGTACGGCAAAGTTTATGAAAATCATACAGATCAGATTGTACGGCAACGTTTATGAAAATCATACATATAAGATTGTACGGCAACGTTTATGAAAATCATACATATAAGATTGTACGGCAACGTTTATGAAAATCATATATATAAGATTGTACGGCAACGTTTATGAAAATCATACATATAAGATTGTACGGCAACGTTTATGAAAATCATACATATAAGATTAATGCGGCAACGTTTATGAAAATCATACATATAAGATTGTACGGCAACGTTTATGAAAATCATACATATGAGATTGTACGGCAACGTTTATGAAAATCATACATATGAGATTGTACGGCAAAGTTTGTGAAAAGCATACATATGAGATTGTACGGCAACGTTTATGAAAATCCTACATATAAGATTGTACGGCAACGTTTATGAAAATCATACATATAAGATTGTACGGCAACGTTTATGAAAATCATACATATAAGATTGTACGGCAACGTTTGTGAAAATCATACATATAAGATTGTACGGCAACGTTTATGAAAATCATACATATGAGATTGTACGGCAAAGTTTATGAAAATCATCCATATAAGATTGTACGGCAAAGTTTGTGAAAATCATACATATGAGATTGTACGGCAACGTTTATGAAAATCATACATATGAGATTGTACGGCAAAGTTTATGAAAATCATCCATATAAGATTGTACGGCAAAGTTTATGAAAATCATACATATAAGATTGTACGGCAACGTTTATGAAAATCATACATATAAGATTGTACGGCAAAGTTTGTGAAAAGCATACATATGAGATTGTACGGCAACGTTTATGAAAAAGCATACATATGAGATTGTACGGCAAAAGTTTATGAAAATCATCCATATAAGATTGTACGGCAAAGTTTATGAAAATCATGCATATAAGATTGTACGGCAACGTTTATGAAAATCATACATATGAGATTGTACGGCAACGTTTATGAAAATCATACATATGAGATTGTACGGCAAAGTTTGTGAAAATCATACATATGAGATTGTACGGCAACGTTTATGAAAATCCTACATATAAGATTGTACGGCAACGTTTATGAAAATCATACATATAAGATTGTACGGCAACGTTTATGAAAATCATACATATATAAGATTGTACGGCAACGTTTATGAAAATCATACATATAAGATTGTACGGCAAAGTTTGTGAAAAGCATACATATGAGATTGTACGGCAACGTTTATGAAAATCATACATATGAGATTGTACGGCAAAGTTTATGAAAAGCATACATATGAGATTGTACGGCAACGTTTGTGAAAATCATACATATAAGATTGTAAGGCAACGTTTATGAAAATCCTACATATAAGATTGTACGGCAAAGTTTATGAAAATCATACAGATCAGATTGTACGGCAACGTTTATGAAAATCATACATATAAGATTGTACGGCAACGTTTATGAAAATCATACATATAAGATTGTACGGCAACGTTTATGAAAATCATACATATAAGATTGTACGGCAACGTTTATGAAAATCATATATATAAGATTGTACGGCAACGTTTATGAAAATCATACATATAAGATTGTAAGGCAACGTTTATGAAAATCATACATATAAGATTGTACGGCAACGTTTATGAAAATCATACATATAAGATTGTACGGCAACGTTTATGAAAATCATACATATGAGATTGTACGGCAACGTTTATGAAAATCATACATATGAGATTGTACGGCAAAGTTTGTGAAAAGCATACATATGAGATTGTACGGCAACGTTTATGAAAATCCTACATATAAGATTGTACGGCAACGTTTATGAAAATCATACATATAAGATTGTACGGCAACGTTTATGAAAATCATACATATAAGATTGTACGGCAACGTTTATGAAAATCATACATATAAGATTGTACGGCAAAGTTTGTGAAAAGCATACATATGAGATTGTACGGCAACGTTTATGAAAATCATACATATGAGATTGTACGGCAAAGTTTATGAAAAGCATACATATGAGATTGTACGGCAACGTTTATGAAAATCATACATATAAGATTGTACGGCAACGTTTATGAAAATCATACATATAAGATTGTACGGCAAAGTTTGTGAAAATCATACATATGAGATTGTACGGCAACGTTTATGAAAATCATACATATGAGATTGTACGGCAAAGTTTATGAAAATCATCCATATAAGATTGTACGGCAAAGTTTATGAAAATCATACATATAAGATTGTACGGCAACGTTTATGAAAATCATACATATAAGATTGTACGGCAAAGTTTGTGAAAAGCATACATATGAGATTGTACGGCAACGTTTGTGAAAAGCATACATATAAGATTGTAAGGCAACGTTTATGAAAATCATACATATAAGATTGTACGGCAAAGTTTGTGAAAATCATACATATGAGATTGTACGGCAACGTTTATGAAAATCATACATATGAGATTGTACGGCAAAGTTTATGAAAATCATCCATATAAGATTGTACGGCAAAGTTTATGAAAATCATACATATGAGATTGTACGGCAACGTTTATGAAAATCATACATATAAGATTGTACGGCAAAGTTTGTGAAAAGCATACATATGAGATTGTACGGCAACGTTTATGAAAAGCATACATATGAGATTGTACGGCAAAGTTTATGAAAATCATCCATATAAGATTGTACGGCAAAGTTTATGAAAATCATACATATAAGATTGTACGGCAACGTTTATGAAAATCACACATAAGATTATGCGGAAAGTTTGTGAAAAGCATACATATGAGATTGTACGGCAACGTTTATGAAAATCATACATATGAAGTTATGCGGCAAAGTTTATGAAAATCATCCATATAAGATTGTACGGCAAAGTTTATGAAAATCATACATATGAGATTGTACGGCAAAGTTTATGAAAATCATACATATAAGATTGTAAGGCAAAGTTTATGAAAATCATACATATAAGATTGTACGGCAAAGTTTATGAAAATCATACATATAAGACTGTACGGCAACGTGTATGAAAATCATACATATAAGATTGTACGGCAAAGTTTATGAAAATCATACATATAAGATTGTACGGCAAAGTTTATGAAAATCATACATATAAGATTGTACGGCAAAGTTTGTGAAAAGCATACATATGAGATTGTACGGCAACGTTTATGAAAATCATACATATGAGATTGTACGGCAAAGTTTATGAAAATCATCCATATAAGATTGTACGGCAAAGTTTATGAAAATCATACATATAAGATTGTACGGCAACGTTTATGAAAATCATACATATAAGATTGTACGGCAAAGTTTGTGAAAAGCATACATATGAGATTGTACGGCAACGTTTATGAAAATCATACATATGAGATTGTAAGGCAAAGTTTATGAAAATCATACATATAAGATTGTACGGCAAAGTTTATGAAAATCATACATATAAGATTGTACGGCAACGTTTATGAAAATCATACATATAAGATTGTAAGGCAAAGTTTGTGAAAAGCATACATATGAGATTGTACGGCAACGTTTATGAAAATCATACATATAAGATTGTACGGCAACGTTTATGAAAATCATCCATATGAGATTGTACGGCAAAGTTTATGAAAATCATACATATAAGATTGTACGGCAACGTTTATGAAAATCATACATATCAGATTGTACGGCAAAGTTTGTGAAAAGCATACATATGAGATTGTACGGCAACGTTTATGAAAATCATACATATGAGATTGTACGGCAAAGTTTATGAAAATCATCCATATAAGATTTTACGGCAAAGTTTATGAAAATCATACATATGAGATTGTACGGCAAAGTTTATGAAAATCATACATATAAGATTGTACGGCAAAGTTTATGAAAATCATACATATAAGATTGTAAGGCAACGTTTATGAAAATCATACATATAAGATTGTACGGCAACGTTTATGAAAATCATACATATAAGATTGTACGGCAAAGTTGATGAAAATCATACATATGAGATTGTAAGGCAACGTCTATGAAAATCATACATATAAGATTGTAAGGCAACGTTTGTGAAAATCATACATATAAGATTGTATGGCAACGTTTATGAAAATCATACATATGAGATTGTAAGGCAACGTTTATGAAAATCATACATATAAGATTGTACGGCAACGTTTATGAAAATCATACATATAAGATTTTACGGCAAAGTTTGTGAAAATCATACATATGAGATTTTAAGGCAACGTTTATGAAAATCATACATATAAGATTGTACGGCAACGTTTATGAAAATCATACATATAAGATTGTACGGCAAAGTTTATGAAAATCATACCTATAAGATTGTACGACAAAGTTTATGAAAATCATACCTATAAGATTGTACGGCAACGTTTGTGAAAATGATACATAATGATTTGAATTTCATTCTTTACAGCTGAAAATCAGCCTAACGTGTGTATTTTAATTGTAGATAATATATGCTTGGAATATTGTTGAGTGCAGCGTTAAACAATTCTTATATTTGTAGTGGAGAAGTATCAACGCCACCTACGGGGATGAGGCAATGCTCCTGAACGTGGCAATCGGAGATGGCATCATTAATGCGCCAGCCTCTTTCAGAGAAACAAGCAACATCCACGTGTTTTCCAGGGTATTTTTGTATTTTTACTATAATTGGCTAAATTAAGTTTCAAACTTTAATTGACGAGACTTCTTGTAACCTTAACGTTCATTTGAATTTACTCGCACACTAACCGTTTCATCCAGGTTAGAATTGATCTTCAGAAACCCATGCTTGTCGTAAGAGGCGATTAACGGGATTGGGCAATGGTTGACACATGTCATCGTATCCCAGTTGCGTAGATCAATGCTCATGCTGTTGATCACTGGATTATCTGGTCCGGACTCGATTATTTACAGACTGCTGCAATATAGACGATTATTTACAGACCGCTGCCATATAGCTGGAATAATATTTCGGGAAGGAAAAGACCTCTTCAGCAACACAAAATCACTCATTCATGTCAGCAAAACCTGTTATCTCATTTCAGCAACTTGTTGCCATGAGAAATTCCGTGGACAAAGAATGCTATGTCAGACATATCATAGAATCCTTTGAAGATTTAAAAGAGAAAATAGGCGGTATTGAACAGGTATGTGTACTTTCAAATATGTATATGAACATGTTGTTTTAGGTCATCATACTAGCTGAGCTAAATACATCTATGTCAATTCATACAGTTATAATTGTTTTTATTGTGACATTTACATGATACATGACATGGGCAGGTCACATGACCAAGAAGCTGACGTTCAGAAGTGTATGACCGTCACATTTTGACATTCACACAGTTTTCACGAGTCTGTTTTCTTGAAATGACGTGAACACAGATGGATTTGTTCCACATTCCTGGAGAATTTCCTCGGAATTTCAAATGAATATAGAGGCGTTGTTTCTGAATCATTTAATTTTGAGATTTACGTTTTAGCATGAAATAGGCCAGTCGGACAGTTTGACTGCATGTCCTCTCAAAAATATCCTCAATCAGTGTGACATGTGACAGTCTAAAGGGATCTATAGATATACTTTAGAATCTATCTGACACATCTCTCAATAATCCATGATGAATAACACTTGTAATCGGCGCAGCTTCTTGAAGTACTTCGAAATTTTCTCTCGATGCCCTATCGTGTTGGCCAAATTGACGAACGGTATTTGATGTAAAACTTATTACCATACGCAGTCACTGTTACTTGACTTACAGAGGGTCTTCTTAAGACACATTTTTCATCTGTTATGGCATGATTTGAATCTCTGTGTTGTTACCCAACCACAGAAGAGGTTCATTCAGATGAATTTGTGCATAAATGTAATCGCCTGTCCGCTGGCCTGCACCTAGCCTGCAACTTTCTGTCGGGCAAGAGAATCTGAAATGTCTCTAGTCTGACTTGCTCGTAAATGTTTAATGCTTTGTACAATGAGCAGCTTATACTTTTTCAGTCCATATTTATGAAATTAAGCTAAAGTTTAGCTATAGCTGTGGACATTATCTACCCCACCGCCCCGGGATACACGAGATAAACCATTTGACACATGATGTGTAGTTTTATGCTTATTACATTGATAGTACCATAACGAAGTTAACGAATGAAACATGTCCCAGTGAAATTTGATGTTTGATTTTGAAAAGCCTGAAAAGCCTCTGCCATACTCACATGCAGGAAGTGCATGACCCATGTCGTTCAGATGTGTGGAGACGTTTGAACATTCTTTGGAAAGAAGGTGTCAATTTCGGTCTGATTCAATTCTCTATAGCTGTCTAGGTTCTGACCTGTAATATTAAGACATAAGATATTTTCGTTTATAATTTCTAAAGCACAACTCATCTAAAGGCAAACTCTCCGAAGACTGGATCGACGTGAAGAATGTTTGCCCCATCGAGTCGTCGGCTGTTGAGGAACTCCTGGGAGATAAGATCGACTGCTTCTGCCGCTTCCACAAAGTCTACTTCATCGGCCTCGTGCACACCGGAACCGTGGATCTCACAAGTAAGTACTGCCTTGCATCGATGTATCAGAACATCACTCACATACTTACAGTTAAATATTGTCTATGAGTATTTTAAGTTAAAACTCGAAAGTAAGTGGAGAAGATAGCACTGATTAATGACAACAAACGTGATCTTAATACCAAAGCCCGTGCTTATGTACTGCCGAAACTGCACAACAAATACTGAAGACACCAATATCACCGAGCTTACAATCAATGAAACTGTGTGTATGGATGGCAAAATCAACCCAGTTGTAAATATGCTGTATGATTCCCATGGAGTTGAGATTGATAATACATCGTGCCGTTGGAGACTGACATCCAATGATCGAGGGAAAAACAAAGCGCCTTTCAGGATATTGGCGCTATATAATTATATATAAATAAAATAAATAAATAAATAAATAAATATAGGTATAGTCCGTTTGGCTCAAAAGCGGACAGATGAATTGCAATCTAACTGGAAACTAATAACTATAAAATACACAATGAAACACTGATCATAATCAAAATATCAGACCAACTCTGTGATTTTTTTGCAGAATTTATGGCCTAAAAATAAAAAAGTTGTTTAACAAAATATCATTAAAATATTGACACAGTTCACCATTTGTTACGAGTGTGGAGTGCAGAGAAAGGGACAGCTAGGTGTGCGAGAAAGGATGGAGACGGCACAGCACAGGTTAATGTATCAATAAGTTTGTCGGCACTTGTGCACGTGCTTCGCTAACACCTGGCTGTCCCTTTCTCTACACTCCTTCCTCGTAACAAATGGTGAACTGTGTCAATATTTTAATGATAGTTTGTTGAACAACTTTTTTTAATTTTAGGACATAAATTCTGCAAACAAATCACAGAGTTGGTCTGATATTTTGATTATGATCAGCGTTTCATTGAGTATTATATGTTTATTAGTTTTTTAGTTAGATTGCAATTCATCGGTCCGCTTTCGAGCCATACGCACTATAGGCCGTTGTATGGTGTTGTGTTCAATGTTGTATTGTTCAAGGGGGCTATGTTATGGATGTTTTTTATTGCACACGACAGTGACATAAACAAGAGGCTATCAAAACGTTTTGAGCCTCAAATACTTCTGATATGTGCATGATAAAAATAACTGTATGATATCGAAGGGTGGTTCATATCATTCACATACACGTAAGACTGACAGGCACATGATCTTAGTCTCCGGTCACGTGACATCTAATCACGTGTACCCCTATTGAGACGGCAGACATGGATAAGCTTGAGTGCAGAGCAGTTCTCGAGAGCCACGCGGCAAAGCACATTGAAGAGAGATTGACAGCAGTACGAGGGTAACATATGTTATATTTGGGATTACACTTTCTTAGTAAAGTACAAATTCTAGTACTTTTTGGGTTGAGTCCCTTCCGGGATTCGAACCCGCACCCTCAGAGTCAGGCACCTAATCGCCAGCACACAAAGTCAGACGCCCAGACCGCTCAGCCACCGCGGCTTCCACACAAAAAATGGAAGTCGGACAACTGGTAGTCTAGACTGCGGACTTTGTGTACCACTTTCTAAAATGGCATTGTGTATTTCATAGCTTTCGGCCGTGGGAGCCGTGCCAGTTAACACTTATCAGAGGGGTACGCAAAGTCCGCAGTCTAGACTACCAGTTGTCCGACTTCCATTTTTTGTGTGGAAGCCGCGGTGGCTGAGCGGTCTGGGCGTCTGACTTTGTGTGCTGGCGATTAGGTGCCTGACTCTGAGGGTGCGGGTTCGAATCCCGGAAGGGACTCAACCCAAAACGTACTAGAATTTGTACTTTACAAAGAAAGTGTAATCCCAAATATAACATATTATGTTACATTTGACCACTTTCTAAAATGGCATTGTGTATTTCATGGCAGTACGAGGGGACTCAGTACTCGTACTGTTGTCAATCGCTCTTCAATTTTCCATATTTTTTAATACGAATGCCACTCTTCATTAGACATTTTTGATTGAGAATGTCACTACCTGTTCCATATTGTCTCATACAATTGCTACTCTTCATTAGACTTTGTTGACTTAAAATGTCACTAAATTGTCCATATCGTGTAATACAAATGCCGCTCTTAATTAGACTTTGTTGACTTTGAATGTCACTAAATTGTCCATATCGTGTAATACAAATGCTACTCTTAAGTAGACTTTGTTGACTTAAAATGTCACTAAATTGTCCATATCGTGTAATACAAATGCCGTTCTTCATTAGACTTTGTTGACGTAAAATGTCACTAAATTGTCCATATCGTGTAATACAAATGCCGTTCTTCATTAGACTTTGTTGACGTAAAATGTCACTAAATTGTCCATATCGTGTAATACAAATGCCGCTCTTAATTAGACTTTGTTGACTTAAAATGTCACTAAATTGTCCATATCGTGTAATACAAATGCCGCTCTTAATTAGACTTTGTTGACTTAAAATGTCACTAAATTGTCCATATCGTGTAATACAAATGCCGCTCTTAATTAGACTTTGTTGACGTAAAATGTCACTAAATTGTCCATATCGTGTAATACAAATGCTACTCTTAATTAGACTTTGTTGACTTAAAATGTCAGTAAATTGTCCATATCGTCTAATACAAATGCCACTCTTAAGTAGACTTTGTTGACTTAAAATGTCACTAAATTGTCCATATCGTCTAATACAAATGCCACTCTTAAGTAGACTTTGTTGACTTATTTTGATCATTTTCAGCGCCATCAAGACGACGAAAACGTTCAGTGGCTGCCCCCGTATCTGTTGCCAGTGCTTGTTGCTGCTGTACTGAACCTGTATAACCTCACTCAAAACTGCTGACTAGTGTGCATTCTCGACGTTTAAATGTATGTTATCAAAAGAAAAACGTTATGAATATTAATGATGCACCGTTGCAATAAACCATTAGTTGGACTCAATCACTTCTGAGCAGTTGTGTGTGATCTTTGTTTCTCACAAAATAGACTGATTGAGTTTAGTTTTACGCCGCTTTTAGCAATATTTCAGCAACATCACGTCGGGGGACACCTGAAATGGGCTTCACACATTGTACCCATGTGGGGATTCGAACCCGGGTCTTCGGCGTGACGAGCCAACGCTTTAACCACTAGACTACCCCACCGCCCCCACAAAATGGAAACATTGAGAATAATCATGTATTTATTCTTTGTAAAAAGGTTGAACGTCATTTATTCGCCAGCCTTGTTGAAGTACAAGTAGGTACTGTTGAGTTAGAATTCAGGACGGCTCCCAACCGTATAGAAGTTCAGGAAAGTGGAAAGACGCTGGGTAGATTCAGAGACTGATGTCTTGGAAATTAGAATTAAGTTTAAAATCCTTTTTTGAGAATTACGGGGATGTTGAGCACTTGGGTTCTGATTTTATATGGTCTCCCAGCAGTGAGTGAGTGTCATGGAGGTCATTTGATGGAGCAGTCACAAATATTTTACCTACTTTATGGCGTCCTGGAGACGAACAACGGGATCTTCATGTCACAAACAACCAAACAAACAAACATATATATATATATATATATATATATATATAAGGGCAAATCCGACCTTTGGGCGACAGTACTATAAGCTGCGACCTTTGGGCGACATTGCCATATATTACAAACGTACATTGATTTTTTTATATTTCTTCGGTTATATACACTTTAATTTGATAATTAAACATTAAAAGAGGGGATAAAACCTTGTACATATATGCAAATAGAGAATATATTTTTGATGTCGCCCATACCGTGTCGCCTAAAGGTAAAGTGTACGGCGTACATGTTTATATGCGACCTTTAGGCGACTGTCGCCCAAAGGTCGTATATATATGTCGCCCAATGGTCGCTTATGTAATATACATATATATATGTCGCCCAATGGTTGCTGTTTAATACTATATACGTGTATACATTTCCATGGCTGCTTATTTGATATATATGTCACCCTTTGGTTGTTTATGTCTTGAGCGCCAAGGAAATTATATTTCATATCTGTGTGCATGAAACTGACTTTCTTGTTTCCGATCTTTATCATCGCACGTACAATCAATTCATAGTTTTGTGCTTAATTTTCTCAAATATGATGCAGTCAAACAAATCCGGCTAGTTAGAATTAATACTGAGATTATGATTACTGGTAATATTTCTAAAAATATTATGCTGTAACAGACATTTATCATTTGGCATAACTTGCAATTATTGTTTCCCACTCAAGCGCCGATGTGCCCTTGCTTCATATTAATTAGTGTCCGTTGTTTACCATTCGAGGTTTGCTAAGGATTAAGTTTTAAGGATATGTTAAGATTAACCAACAACTAAATATTAAATATGCCCATACTCAAACACTGAAAACCTCTATAGGAAATAGAGGGGGTGGGGTGGGGGAGGTAAGAAAACGACATCGTATCGATTCCCGTGAACGAAGACGATTTTGTCAGTAAAGACGTCAAATTTTCAATTAAAAATTATTAAACAATTTTATTTATCTTTTTAGTTCTAATTTTGTTTTGCTAGGCATTGTATTATGTGTAGGGATTAGGATTAGCGTGTGCATTTGCCTCGTATACACCGTCGGAAATGGAAGTCAGCTGTGTACACTTTTCCCCGTGATCTACCGGTGATTTAGTTAAAATTTATCCTATATTACCACCCGATGAATTCTAATGGAGTGATCGAAAATAATCTAGTATCTGAAATTATTTTTGTGTTTCCATAAGAAATATATTGTTTCGTTTTAATTGCAGGATTTGCTCTAAAAATGTAAAATATCTATAATCATAACTGAGGTTATGCGAGAGCACGCACTATGGTGTTTTGCTGGATAGGATTTATGCAAGGAACAATTTGACCTGTCACCGATGAGGTTTCGCGCGATCTCGCTTATTCCACCGTGAAAACACTTCGTTGACATGTAATAGTCCAACTGCAAGAAATATTACTTTTAGCGAAAACAAATATGTATACAATGTACGTATCCATTTCCTGCCAAATACACTTCAATTCGAGGCGTGAGTAGATGTAAAATAATAGTGATTGTTGCGACTAATGCGGACCGAAGTTAAAACATCGGGGAGACACAGCTGCAGGATATAACTGCAGTTGATATAAACATTCTTTTTTTACCTTTTGAGTAAAATTAATAAACTGGATTGCAAAGTCCAGATATGAAAAACGTCTTTTTAACGAGATAAAGTAACAACATCATTAACTTTCGTCATCAAATATGGATTGGTTGAAACTAATTCTAATGACTGATCACAATGAAGAGATGAGCAAAGGTTGCATACCATCTAACCACAGCCCATTTTGAGTCAGTCGGGACTATTCTCGTTCTCTTATCATACACTGAGGCAAACCAGACGACTCCTGAATAAACTGGGGGCTCCGACACTGTGATTTCCCAAATGTCTGGTCTGAAAACCATTTAAACAGAGCCCATTTTGAGCCAGTCGGGATTATTCCCGTATTCTTATCATACACTGAGGCATACCAGACGACTCCTGAATAAACTGCATGGGGGCTCCGACACTGATATTTGCCAAATGACTGGTCTGAATACCATTTAAACACAGCCTATTTTAAGCTAGTCGGGACTATTCCCGTATTCTTACCATACACTGAGGCATACCAGACGACTCCTGAATAAACTGGGGCTCCGACACTGATATTTGCCTGATGTCTGGTCTGAATACCATCTAAACAGAGCCCATTTTGAGCCAGTCGGGACTATTCTCGTATTCTTATCATACACTGAGGCATACCAGACGACTCCTGAATAAACTGGGGCTCCGACACTGAAATTTGCCAAATTTCAGGTCTAAATACCATTTAAACAGAGCCCATTTTGAGCCAGTCGGGACTATTCTCGTTCTCCTATCATACACTGAGGCATACTGGACGACTCCTGAATAAACCAGGGCTCCGACACTGATATTTGCCTGATGTCTGGTCTGAATACCATTTAAACGCAGCCCATTTTGAGCCATTCAGGACTATTCCAGTATTCTTATCATACGCTGAGGCATACCAGACGACTCCTGAATAAACTGGGGCTCCGACACGGATATTTGCCTGATGTCTGGTCTGAATACCATCTAAATACAGCCCATTTTGAGCCAGTCGGGAGTATTCCGGTTCTCCTATCATACCCTTAGGCATACCAGACGACTCCTGAATAAACTAGGGCTCCGACACTGATATTTGCCTGATGTCTGGTCTGACTACCATCTAAATACAGCCCATTTTGAGCCAGTCGGGAGTATTCCGGTTCTCCCATCATACACTGAGGCATACCAGACGACTCCTGAATAAACTGGGGCTCCGACACTGATATTTGCCTGATGTCTGGTCTGACTACCATCTAAACTGAGCCCATTGTGAGCCAGTCGGGACTATTCTCGTTCTCTTGTCGTACATTGAGGCATACCAGACGACTCCTGAATAAACTGGGGCTCCGACACGGATATTTGCCAAATGTCTGGTCTAAATACCACCTAACCAAAGCCCATTTTGAGCCAGTCGGGACTATTCCCGTTTTCTTATCATACACTGAGGCATACTGGACGACTCCTGAATAAACTTGGGCTCCGACACTGATATTTGCCTGATGTCTGGTCTGAATACCATCTAAACACAGCCCATCACCGCACTAGATCCGCAAGTGCTACCACTCCACGCCCCTATTTTTTCCAAATCAGCTTCGGAGACTCCACCATGGAAAATGGAGCCATATTCCACCCCAGTGCGAACCAATGATAGGAACAAGAAAAAATTGTAAGTTTAATAAGTACTATTTATTAAACCAAATAGTTTTGACATTCTTATTTGCATAACTTTGCAAAAAATTGTAATTGTGGCATTTACACTTCTCTGATCGAGACCTTGACTAACATTTGTCAGGTTAAATTTCTGACAATGTTGTTCTGTGATAAGGTGTTTCACTCTTAGAGGGTGGGTTCAAATCACACAAGGGATTCACTCCACCCTCTACCAGCAAAGTACTAGTATCTGTACTATACTGGGAAAGTGAATTCCCAAATGTAACATCCCTTAGAAATGATCTGAATATTTATTAAGTTAATTTCATTCTTAAAATGTGTGCCATCTCTTCCTTGTCCTTTGCTGCTGTATTTTCTGCTTGTTCATCATTTTTGCTCTCAGCTGAACTTAAGAGCATTCGTGCTTGGAAATCTGTAGAAATGACTGAATGGTCTCCGTTTCTGAAATATAACAAAGTTTTCAGTATGTTAAAACATCAAGGTACAGTGAGTATCATCACTCAGCTTTTAGTCCTATAGTCTTTACCCAACTCCCCAACTTAAGGTTTTATTAGGACAAGTAAACATTTGCCATTTTAAGATTTAACTAATTTGTTATCATTATGAGAACTTGTGGCCTAAATATACTATTCACCCTTTGCTATGAATTAAATCATTGATTCAACAGAAAACTATATTGTGGGATCAAATTTGGTTTAAATATCTAAGCTTATTGTAAGCATGGATCCTAGGTTTCAGTATGTCATTTCATCTTGTCGATCCCATACCTGCTATTGACAGGTGTTGTTTGTTTGTAAATGACTCGTTCCATGATTTGCAAAATGGTTGATTGGTGCCATTAAAACCATTTTTATGGTTACTCATGTATCAAGTGCATAAGGTTAGACAAAAGTAGCTGTTTGCCTACAGAAGGGTTACTATATTATTATTTATCAAGTTTTAAATGTATACAATTTCAAATTATAAATCTATGTGTAAGTATAGTCTGGAAAATTTGTGATCCTTAGCAAAGTGTGAGTAATCAATGCAATATACAATATAACAATCTATAGTCATTAAATTAAGTTTGCTATAACGTAGAATAGAAATAGTTCTATAAAGATGAAGCCTTGAGTATTCAGGAAACTTTAATCTGGTAACATGGCTGAAAATTGAATGGGAGTGACTGCCACTGTCTATGAGTGAAATGAGGGTCAGCACTAGTAGTGAGTGAGTTTAGTTTTTAGCTAAGACAAGCGAACGCTTAAACCACTAGGCTACCCCTCCGCCCATCAACCCTAGTAGTAGTAAGCGCTTCATTAAGCAGATACAGACTGAATACCACAGAGAAAGGGAAAGGTGGGAGGATGTCCAGATAGATACTGGTTAACTTTATTGCTTAGTGTTTATCAAACTAGTGAAATGATGATGAAACAAACCATTGACGATATTAATATGCAGCAACATACACATGTTTCGGTATATACTCAGAGAAATTATTACGGCAATGATAAAATAATCAAAGCAACAAGAAAGTAATTGAACAAAAAAGACATTTTAATTAAAACAACATTTTGATTGACAAAAATGGCACCATTAGGTTTTTGTATAACAAAGGTCCGAACTGAAAATATGTAAAAAAAAAAGGAACATATCTGATTCGCTTAACTTCTAAACCAAACTTCATAAAATTCTGCATACAATTGGCTCAGAGATTTTTCTCCAAATCTCCTACATGTCATGCAAAATGCAATTGGAACCAGTTGATTACATATGTCAGCAGTATGTCAGCCAAGTTCTAGCAGTGCTAAAGGCTAAGGGTTAGTTATCTAGTTAGAAAAAAGACATGGTATGTTTTCAGATTTGAGAGTTTTGTTGTGTATTTGATAAACAGAAATTACATTTAGAGCACATAAGTTTAGCTTGAGGTTGAAATATAAACAATTTTGGCATTGACTACTCAATGAAACCCACAAATCTAGAAAACATACAGTATGTACTGACACTGTAGAATACAAACATGATCTGTCATTTTTGTAATTTTTATCTATCTAGGTGACACATATCATTTGAAGTGTTGAATCATAACTTACATCAGTCAATACAGACTGCAAGGAAGAAATCTTAACCCTTTAGTACGTATGATTTAATACTACAGCTCAGTGCACAGTACTACAGCTGAGTGCACAGTGTGACAACCAAACCCAACTTATCCATATGATATAACTAGATTACAAACTGATTAGTGAAACAGCCTCTTTAGGGACACACAGTTTCATTACATTCGACTGTAGTCAAGTGAACTACAGAGAGTTTGGTATATACACTATATATGATGTGTAATAGGGGTGTCGCGATACGCGAATGTATCGATGCATCGATACATTTTTACTGACGATACGATACGCGATACATGCTTGCGTGTATCGATTCCTATTTTAAAACTTTATCGATTCAAATTTTTATGCTATATCCATCTCCTTCAAAGTCTTGATAGTAAAATTATACGAGATCGCTCCGATAAATAGATGTAGCTAGCTTTACTTAAAAAATAGGTTGGAAACTAACAGCTTTTGTGATTGGCTAAACTATTTTGATGGACCAATCAGCGAGCGCGTACGATGCCGGTAAGGTAATGCTATGAAAAGGCGCGAAAATTTTGTATCGCGCTACGTATCGTATCGTGACCTTAAAATCGTGATACGTATCGTATCGTGAGATTGGTGTATCGTGACACCCCTAATGTGTAACCCAATGGTGTACTGATAATACATATGATGTGTTGCCCACAGGTCTACTGATTGTATGATGTGTTGCCCTAAGGTCTACTGGTAATATATCTGATGTGTTGACCACAGGTCTACTGGTGATATATAAGATGTGTTGCCCTCAGGTCTACTTGTGATATATAAGATGCATTGCCCTAAGGTCTACTGGTGATATATAAGATGCGTTGCCCTTAAGCAGTGTTAAGTCTACTAGGGACATATAAGATGTGTTGACCACAGGTCTACTGATTGTATGACGTCTTGCCCTAAGGTCTACTGGTGATATACATCATGTGTTGCCTAAGGTCTACTGGTAATATATCTGATGTTTTGCCCTCAGGTCTATGGTTGATATATAAGATGCATTGCCCTAAGGTCTACTGGTGATATATAAGATGCGTTGCCCTAAGGTCTACTGGTGATACATAAGATGTGTTGTCCTAAGGTCTACTGGTGATATATAAGATGTGTTCCCCTAAGGTCTACTGGTGATACATAAGATGTGTTGCCCTAAGGTCTACTGGTGATATATAAGATGTGTTCCCCTAAGGTCTACTGGTGATATATAAGATGTGTTGCCCTAAGGTCTACTGGTGATATATAAGATGTGTTGCCCTAAGGTCTACTGGTGATATATAAGATGTGTTGCCCTAAGGTCTACTGGTAATATCTAAGATGTGTTGCCCTATGAGGTCTACTGGTGATATATAAGATGTGTTGCCCTAAGGTCTACTGGTAATAATGATGTGTTGCCTAAGGTCTACTGGTGATATATAAGATGTGTTGCCCTAAGGTCTACTGGTGATATATAAGATGTGTTGCCCTAGGGTCTACTGGTGATATATAGATATTGTTGCCCTAAGGTCTGCTGGTGATATATAAGATGTGTTGCCCCCTGGTGATATATGTGATGTGTGTTGCCCTAAGGTCTACTGGTGATATATATGATGTGTTGCCCTAGGTCTGCTGGTGATATATGGGATGTGTTAATATGTGATGTGTTGCCCTAAGGTCTACTGGTGATATATATAAGATGTGTTGCCCTAAGGTCTACTGGTGATATATAAGATGTTTGTAAGGTCTTCTAAGTGTTGCCCTAAGGTCTACTGGTGATATATGAATGTGTTGCCCTAAGGTCTACTGGTGATATATAATGATGTGTTGCCCTAAGGTCTACTGGTGATATATAAGATGTGTTGCCCTAAGGTCTACTGAGTAATATATATGATGTATGTTGCCCTAAGGTCTGCACTGGTGATATATAATGCGTTGACCCTAAGGTCTACTGGTGATATATAGGATGTGTTGCCCTAAGGTCTACTGGTGATATATAAGATGTGTTGACCCTACTGGTGATATATATACATGTGTTGCCCTAAGGTCTACTGGTGATATATAATGATGTGTTGCCCTAAGGTCTACTGGTGATATATAAGATGTGATTTGCCCCTAAGGTCTACTGGTGATATATATGATGTGTGCCCTAATGTCTACTGATGTATGATGTGTTGCCCTTAGGATTACTGATAATATATATGATTAGGTTGCCTAAGGTCTACTGGTGATATATAAGATGTGTTGCCCTAAGGTCTACTGGTAATATATATGATGTGCTGCCCTCAGGTTCTACTGGTGATATATAAGATGTGTTGCCCTAAGGTCTACTGGTGATATATAGATAAGGATGTGTTGTTGCCCTAAGGTCTACTGGTGATATATAATGATGTTGCCCCCTAAGGTCTACTGATTGATATATGATGTGTTGCCCTAAGGTCTACTGGTAATATATATGATGTGTTGCCCTAAGGTCTACTGGTAATATATAATGTGTTGCCCTAGGTCTGCTGCGGTGTCTATGATATATGATGTGTTGCCCTAAGGTCTACTGATTGTATGATGTGTTGTCTACCGATGTGTTGCCCTAGGTCTACTGGATAATATATAAAGGTCTAGTTGCCCTAAGGTCTACTAGTGATATATAAATGCGTTGCCCTAATGTGTTGCCCTAAGGTCTACTGGTGATATATATGATGTGTTGCCCTAAGGTCTACTGGTGATATATATGATGTGCTGCCCTAAGGTCTACTGGTGATATATAAGATGTGTTGCCCCTAAGGTCTACTGGTAATATATATGAAGTTGCCCTAAGGTCTACTGAGTGATATGAGATGCGTTGCCCTAAGGTCTACTGATTTTATGTGTCTCCTGGTGATGTAATTGCCCTAAGGTCTACTGGTGATATATAAGATGTTTGCCCTACGATCTACTGGTATTATGTATGATGTGCTGCCCTACTGATATGTACAGATGTGTGCCCTTAGGTCTATAATATATGATGTGTTTGCCCTAAAGGTCACTACTGGTGATATATAAGATGTGTTGCCCTAAGGTCTACTGGTGATATATAAGATGTGTTGCCCTAAAAAGGTCTACTGGTGATATTATAAGATGTGTTGCCTAAGGTCTACCAGTGATATATAAGAAAAGGTCTACTGGTGATATATAAGATGTGTTGCCCTAAAAGGTCTGCTGATTATATATGATGTGTGTATTATGTGTTGCCCTTAGGTCTACTGGTAATATATGTGATGGGTTGCCCTAAGGTCTACAGTGATATATATGATGTGTTTGCCACTGGTGATGATATATATGATGTGTGTTGCCCTAAGGTCTACTGGTGATATATAAGATGTGTTGCCCTAAGGTCTACTGGTGTCTGCTGGTGATATATAAGATGTAATGTTGCCCTAAGGTGCCCTACTGATTGTATGATGTGTTGCCCTTAGGTCTACTGATAATATATATGATGGGTTGCCCTAAGGTCTACTGGTGATATATATGATGTGTTGCCCTAAGGTCTACTGGTGATATATATGATGTGTTGCCCTATGGTCTTTACTGGTGATATATAAGATGTGTTGCCTCAGGTCTATGGGTGATATATAAGTCTACTGGTGATATATAAGATGTGTTGCCTCAGGTCTAAGGTCTACTGGTGATATATAAGATGTGTTGCCCTAAGGTCTACTGGTGATATATATAAGATGTGCGTTTTCCCTCAAGGTCTACTGGTAATATATAATGGTGTGTTGCCCTTAGGTCTACTGGTGATATATATGATGTGTTGCCTAAGGTCTACTGGTGATATATATAAGATGTGTTGCCCTACAAGTCTACTGGTGATATATAAGATGTGTTGCCCTACAAGTCTACTGGTGATATATAAGATGTGTTTGCCCTTAGGTCTACTGATTATATGATGTAATGATGTTGCCCACAGGTCTATTGAAAATATATGATGTGTTGCCCAAAGGTCTGCTGATAACAGATATGATGTGTTGCCCAAAGGTCTTCTGATAAAGGTCTGATGGTGAATATATATGTGTTGCCCAATGGACTGTAAAAATAACAGATTGGATGTGTTGCCCAAAGGTACGTAAAAATAACAGATTGGATGTGTTTCCCAATGGGCTGTGATTATAACAGATATGATGTGTTACCCAACATTCTACTGAATATTAATACATATATATATATATATATATATAGAAGTTGCCCGATGGTCAACAAGATACATCCTATTCATCATCAACACAGACCTTTAGACAACACATCCTAGTTGCATACAATGGAATTTAGCTTGATTGATTTACTAATGACCTGCCAGGGACATCATAGGCAGCGGTCGAGATAAACACATTCTTGACCTTAATATAATGATATGATATGTTATTGGTGTTCACTTATCTTGATATCTAGAAAGACACCTACTCAAAAACTGGTGGTACCTTTTGACTTCAAGTCATCTGCTGATGAACAGTATATCCACCTTTACATTTTAGTACCTTTCTTACAGATACTACATCTGAATCCTGAAAAGATAAACAAAGAAAATGTATCTGCTGACATGGAATAGAGGTGTCTTCAGTTCTCATTTGATGAATTTCATATTATTATGAAGGACACCAAAACATTAATGCAAATGTATCAACAATTACATGAATCATTTGTTAACAGCCCATTTAAACACCAGATACAATTATGTAAAACAAATTTAATTGAGAACCCACCCATCCCCACTCCAACCGGCCCAGAAGTGATATGAACATAATGAGTGTCAGAACTTGAATACACTGATTATCCGATGGAAGATTGAATTAAAGGACAACAGACAAACAGCAAAAATGTAGGGAATATGTTAATTTGTATACTCTGTATTGAAAAATGCCAATCTTTTCTGAATTGTGTGCACTACTTAAACACGACACACGCATCAGCTCTCTATGAAACTGTGGTAAGATATGAATACATAGTAACCTAAAAGTGAAAATGATATCTCTATTATAAAAAGACATGATTATTGCAGGGATAAATTTTTGGATTGCAAATGTTTGGACATCAATCAAGGTGCAAAAGTCAATAGAAAAGCTTAAAATGTTGGAAAATTACCCTATTGATAATGTGAAAAGCAAATTCTGCCAATTTTCAAAATTTCTACATTTTCTGTAAAGTTTTCCATGATCAGAACCACAATACTTGTCTGAACTGCTTGTTATGAGGGTATATACAGTTTTTTCTTTAGATTTTTTCATATATGACATCAAAGACAGACTATCTGTATATAGGGCTATTGCATGTCTAACAATTAATCTCTTATTGGCCATTTTGAAGTTTCTTGATGCTTTTTATAAATAGTAAAGATCCTGTATTGAGATAATACCTAAAACATGTATTGCTGCACTCAGTACTGATCGCACACTACCATTCAAGATAACTGTACTATTGTTAGTGAAGGATTTAAACAAATTGCAAAAGATTCATGAGGCATTACTTCATCCGGGAATTGCTGAGTTTGTGGTGCTGAATTCTAAAGGTAGGCCAGAACAATGTTTGAGGTTAGGAATGCCACGATATTATCGATACTTTTTCTAAGACGATACAATCATTGATACATTCAAAACTCTATCATTATTTGTTTTGAAAGTATTCATTTAAACATGTTTTAATATGTATCGTTCACATTTTAAAATTGTATCATGTTTTTATGTTATGAGAGTTATAAATGATTATTTTTCATACACAAAGATGTAGGAAATTAGAACTTTTAATGTCTGAGAATAGAAAATGTTGATCTTTTTCAAGGACTCTTATAAAATATAAAATATTTAATGTTCAAAAATGTAACTAATTTTACACAATAATGCAGTGAAAATAGGTATCATGATACATATCGAATCATGTCATGAGAATGTCGTGATACGTATCGATTCATGAATCTTATGTATCATGACATCCTAGTTAGAAAGGTAGAAAAATTTTAACAAAGCTGTAAATTGGTATTCACAACTTCAAAATCTAGTAACATGAAGGTGTATTGATCTCTGGATCACACTAGCCTACCCCTCCTCCTCCCATTGGAATGCCTGAGACTCCCCCTCAGATTCTGCAATTTGAAGGTCACATTTCTCCTCTGCCAAGCTCAACGTGTCTTGGTCCCGTTCATAGTTGTCAGTATTATGTAACATTAAAATGTGTTAACAATATTATTCTCAAAATGATTATGAACTTAAATTCAAAATTTAGCTTAAGAAATAATATTTTTTCTTCTGAACTGATAAAGTATTTAAAATTCTACATGATTTAGTTATCACCCTAACAAAATACATAAATTATGAATTTACAATGTTTCATATTCAGAAACCATTGTTAAAATAAAATTGACTTACCGGGCATAAACTGGATTCGATAGGATTTCCATGTCTAACAGGACCATCCAAGACTAGCAATTAGTCTCTGAATATATATAATTTTGATAGAATCAAACAAATCCTTTTAAACTGAAAAGGAGCTCCAGTGAGATGGGAGATTCCTGAAACTAAGTAAATCTAGACTTGCCTAAATTAGGTCTTTATCATTGCAGAAAGGCATAGACGGAAGTAAAAATAATGCAGTTCAGGAACTATGAGACAGACTAGACCTTTCCTGACTTTTTACAGTCTATGTCAACTTTGATCTTGAGATGAAGGGTGACCAAAGGAAATAACTTGTGCCATCAAGTCAATTTGATTGGAATTTAAGAATACCCATAATATCATAGTTTCAATTTACTCACACAATATACAAAGTTATGTCTTTATTCATGGGTTGCTTCTAAGTCATGTTCAGGATTTTGTTAGTCATCCATGCATAAAGGTAAAAAACTCACCAGTAATACAAAATGTTAATTTCTTTCAGGTTTATTTTTAATTTACTATTCATAATAATAATCATCGATTCTTTACATTTACATCAATACTGTCTGCCCAGTGCTGCTCAGAGATGTTGGTATTAGTCTACAATACAAACTATTTAGTCATGATGGACCAATGATGAATAGCACACTACCTGAATAGATGCATCAAAGAGTCATTTCTGAAACTGTTATTATGGCTTTGTAAAGGTAACTTACAACAGGAAGAGGCTTTAATTGTTGCTGTTTGTACTGAAAGAAATGTTAAACTTCACCTCCACATTTTAAAGAGAAATAGTTTGTTTAAGAACCCCGCTTTTGAACAAAATTACCCTTTTATACAATTTGACTGCTAAAGTGAACTTAAAACCATAAAAGACTAATAACATATTCCTGTGATAGAAAACAGTTGGTCTATTGACCAACCAATAAGTTATACAACATGTCTCAATGTGTTTAGTGAGATCCATCCTTGATTTTTCAGTTAATCTTATCCTGTCCACTGGTATTTACTCCTCTTCCTATGTTACACAATGTACAGGATTTAAACTTTGAAATGAGGAAATGTCCCTGCAAACATACAAAGATAAGAGTAGCTGCAATGGAATTATGAAAGCTCAAAAAGGAATTCTGACTGTGTTCATGCACAATATTGAATTAACAGATTCAAGTGCATCAGTGAAGTGGAAAATCTCCAGCATTTAAAAGAACTACATCAAGTTTGGACCAAGCGCAGAAAAATACAACGTAAACCAACATTTATGGTTGTCAGTTGAGTCACCTGTGAGTAGGAGGATGTATTGGGTCAGTAATTATGCTTTGGCTGAGTGGCAGTGGCGCGTGGACAGACAAGGTTATAGTCTGGGCCACAATGCAAGAAAAGATTTTTATCTCTTTAGATCTCTCAGCATCGGCAAATGTGTTTTCTGGTAATTAGAAATTTTGTCTACAATCAGCCACAAAATGTATCCAGGTTACTAAAACAAAACACGGGTTTGGACTTGAACAGCCTTTACTTGTAGGTAATAGGGTGGTAGGCTACAATCTTTGTACTCATATGGAGATAATTTATTATTATTATCATGAAAATGGTGCAACATATACATTTCATCACTATACACTGATATTTTTTCACTTCCACGATAGACCAGTGGAGGAGATACACTGCACATAAGCACCCAAAGGGGCAGGGTTCAAAGCAGGAGCAATAAAAAGCTATATTTGAAAGTTAGAAACTCTTGATATAAATAATGTAACCTGAAAACATATTATGGTCAGAGAGAGCAAATCGCGATATTTCCTTTGCATGAACAATTTAGGAAATGTGTAGCTGATATAAAAATGTGTAGTTCAGCCATCAGAGGAAACAGCTAAAGAGCAACAATGGAGAGTGCCATTTGAAACTATAACTACAAGTCTTCCTCCAACACTGCACTATCATCGGCTCATTATTTGAGCAAAACCCATGCTCAATGAGTATTACCCCCAGGTCAGAATATGCAGTGTGGGTGATAAAACCAATTGTAATGTGTTATGCTATCTCTACATTTGGCCTATAAGTAATTTTGCTGAATTCAAGTCTTACAGATTTGGTTAGTTCCTGAAATTAGTAATGGTTATTGACTGTTTGGGGTGTATTTATCTATTAGTTGGTAGATATTTATTTAAAATAAGAAAACAATATATCAGTGCAAGTCAGTCTGATACCCCTGAATATCAGGCTGTCCGAATGAGAGATGTTTTGGGTTTTTTTCGCGACCGAACTGCCTAAAAGTAAAGGTCAATTTCACCCACTGAGTGAACATAAAATCATACAGCTGTGATTAGCTCTTTTCGGTTGTGGATCACGGTAGTTGGCCATAAGTGAGTCATCAATAGTGAAATTCACATAGACTTTCATGTTAATTAACTCTTGCAAGAATAATTTTCATACATTTAGTTTGAGGTGGAATTGCTTTCAGCACTTATCTACCAGCTGGGAAATCATCTCAGCTTTGTACACATAATTTCCTTTCAATTTTCCGAGGATTATTAAGAAAACTGCAACTTCTTAAACAACATATATTAGACCTACCAATCAGGTTTAACATGTCTATGGGATAGATAAAAATTAAGTTGTATTTATGGTGCTTAATCAGGTGTCATTCGATAACTAATCAATGGAAAGATGAAAGAAAATTATGTACACGTAGCTGAAGATGATTTTTCAAGATGTTTGCAAACTTCTACTCAATTTATGAAAATTATTCTTGCAACAGTTAATTAACATGTAAGTCTATGGAAATTTCACTAGTGATGACTCACTTATAGCCAACTACTGTACCCTGTAGTTCTGTGTCACATCCCTGAACCACAATATTATTTTCCCTACTGCCTTGCCCTTTCTGCAATGCTAAGGCCCTAAATGAAGTAAGTCTAGATTTTCTCAAGTTCTGGTTCCCCCGGGGCTCCTTTTCAATTTATAATGCGGTTGTTTGTTGATATAAAAAAAATTATATTCAGAGACTAAGCGATAGTCTAGCCCTAGGTGAGGATCAAGAAACAACATGATACGAAACGTCACAATCGCGATCAAGTTACTAGCAAACAGTTTCTTCCAGTTGAGAAATCTTGAAATAGATTGTGTCATGGGACAGGCATCGCCTTTGAAACAAGTGTACATGCTGCTTTTTTCAACAAAATACTCCGATTACGATACATACCATGCATTTCCCAATGCTTAGTGCTGCCAAGTCACCTCGTGTAGTGCGCGAAAACTGTAGCAAAGGGGATCCGATTTGACACAAAACGTGAACGGGCCTTCGTGTGAAACATGAATTCAATTTATTTACAGATTATTACATTGTTATTTTGATCGAAGAATCAAATGTTTTAAGTATTTAAACGTGTTCTTGGTGGCACATTAGTCTTGTCTGTCAGCTCCCACAATATCTACAGACATTATTGAATTATTAGCTAAGTGTTCATTTCGACGTTGCCGCTTTTGAACTTTCACGTTTTTGACGCACAGGAGCGTGAAGGCAAATCGCCGAAAGGTACTGCGAGCGAAACAGTGATGTTATGCTGAACACTTAACGATGTGTAGAGTCAGTGCTCCTAAGTACGTACGGTTTTGGTCCTTAAATGAATGCGCCACTTACTTCCGTTACCAGTTTTGGAATGTCATATACCAGAATGAAGCTCATCCAATGGGGAGTCTGAATATAGCAACCGGTTCATTATACGGGTTTCAGTTTATCATCCCTGTTAACTTTTCCACGCAAACCTCTATGCCCCTAATGCCGTACGGAATCACTGTAATACCGTACACCTAACCTCTCAATATCGTACAGGGTGCTCAATACCGTACATACTGAATTATATGTTATTAAATATTGAATTTCTAGACAAAAGCAATATTTGTTTTGCATTTCACTTTGTAAGTGTTTGTAAATAAAGTACACGGTGTCTCTCTAAGGGGCGTGCATGGATATTACATTGATTGACAGCTCATACACCCTCAATAGCTCTGCTGTCAAATGCCAACAGTGGTATCGCCGGTGACTACATGGCGAAGTTTTAAATAATTCCAAATAAGTAGTTTTTGTGTTCATTTAATTCGTAAATGTATAGCATGCATGCATTATTCCATAATGTGTGTAATATACAACATGAAAACGTTGAGTCATGATGAATGCTAATTTTAATCCCGAACGATAAAATAGTTAGATCTATTTGTACGTCTCAGTATAATTCACACATAGAATGAAACTGACTTAAACTTGATTTTACTTTGAATCAATACTTTATGGGAGAACTACTTCTGATTATTCTTAAGTTTTAGTTTAAGTTCTCTCTGCTCTTTTCTGGCCTTCTTTTCTGCTTCATTTTTCCGTTTCTGCTCAACTTTCTCTCTTTTCATTTCAATGATATGGTCACTTGTCAAGATTCTATGTGAGGTCAGCTTTCTGGGATTGACTTTGCCCTCTGACTTTTTAGTTTCAGGCAAAGCAAACTCCCGGTTAACTGCTTCCAGTTGTGTAAGTGGCAACCCTTCATCGCTTGCAATCTCTACAACCATGTTGCCAGATTCATCAAATGATGAAGGGACGTCTCCAGTGAGAACAGAGAGGATGAATTCTTCAGCTGACAAGACCTCTGCTCCCTCTGGAAGGTCAGCCTCCTGCTGGACGGATGTAGATGGTGTCGGTTCTGGAGTAGCTGCAGCTTGAAGTGCATCTGCATCATGGAGTGTTTCAGCTGTTTCAGGGGTAGCTACAGCTACCGATGACTCGTCACCGCATGCAACTATTTCGTTGCTCACTGGGGACTTTGATGTAGGAGCGTTGTCAAAGGGCTGCGACGGTGCAAATGCTGACCTGGGGATGGCTGTGGGATTGAAAGGAAATATCCCACATTTCCTGAAGCCATTGATGATATTACTGGCGGTGAATGCTTTGTCGTAAGAAGCTCTGAACAACCTCGGCCACTCCCACTTACAAACAATGTTGTTGGGGCTACTGCTCATATAATCTGAGCACCCAAAATTCCATTCCCTACTTAAAGAACTAAATACGCTTTTGTCTAGTGGACATAGCCACTGGGTTGTATGGGGAGGGAACGCAAGAACTGTAACGTTGTTCTCCCGTGCCTTCTCCAGAAAACCCAGTGTCTCATGAGACGAATGGCTATCAAGGATGATTAGCTGAGGTCTCTCTGAGCCGCAATACTTGAGAAAATGGTCTTCGAACCATCTCTCCCCCAGCTGATCTTCCATCCACGCTCTCTCCTGGTATGTGTAGACAGTGCCAGGAACGCCAAGTTTAGTGTTGTATGCGCCCAAACATCTTTGGGTCTTGCCTCTCACGATGGCCATTGGTGGTATTGTGTTTCCAGCGGCATAAACACATGCCAAAACACTAACCCTGTCACGGTCATTACCAACACGGCCAGGAATGTTTTTTAATTCCAGTTTGAGCGAAAATTTTCGCCGGCCGGTGAGTTAGAGTGAGTGAGTGAGTTAAGATTTAAAGTCACATCGGCAATATTTCAGCCATATCGTGACTAAAGCAGGTTATAAATATATCAACAATTTAAGTGAAATTATAAAATTCTGCCAACGAAGGACGGTAAAATAACTAGATAATCACAGATATATATGTAAAACTAGTAATTGAATCTAAAACATTTTAACTATAGGGGACAACACAATATAAAAATGGGCTATAGATCGCCACCAACTGAAGGTAGATCACCATGCTAGGAGCCATGGGGACTTACATTACTTTTGCTACCTGCATGGATCCTAGCTGGATTTACACCATCCCTTCAGCCATTGGCGATTGTAGGAAAATTTAGCCAACAGTTAAAATAACAAAAATACTACGTTTAAAATGTGATAATTTATATTTTACTTTGAAAGTTTTGGGACTTACGTACCCTCTCAGGAGGACAATAATTTTACGCTACGTCAACCCCCCTTTGAGGGTACAGCCACTAACAATCTCAGTGACTAATTTAAATTACCAATAATAAAATATTTATCTATTTACAAATCAGTTAATAAATCTAATTTCTTTTAAAATTCAACTATTAAATGATAATTAGCATTATTAAAAGATCCTTCAATGTTTTGACATTAAATACTTATCCCTTGTGATGGAATATTCAACACAGTCAAGCAGGACATGCTTGACTGTGATTCTTTCATCACAAGGGATACAAAACGGAGGATCCTCACCTTTAATAGGTACTCATGAGTATATCTAGTGTGGCCAATACGACATCGTCGTATGATGACCTCTTCAAATCTGGACTGACAACCCAAGTAAGTGTAACCGATAGTTGGTTTGATTGCATGTAATTTATTGATACCTACTTGGGTGTCCCACTTCTTTGCATCAGATCACGGAAGTAGGTTCTAATGATAGCTTTGTAATCAGAGTATGGGATAAGAAGTGGTGTCACAGATTTGTTGAGTGCAGCCTTAGCAGCAATATCAGCCATCGTGTTCCCAGAAATGCCAACGTGGCTGGGTAACCAACAAAAGACGATGTCGCATTGGCCAGTAGCAAGCTCATTATACAATTCAATAATTTCTATTAAAAGTGGATGTTTACAAGAAATATTTTTAATCGCCTGAAGGCAAGACAGAGAGTCAGAAAAGATTATGTATTGTTTATATTTAGGGTGTCTATTTATATATTTGAGAGCTGTTAGTATTGCGTTTGCTTCAGCTGTGAAAATGGAACTGTCAGTGGGTAATCTGAAGATATTGTTTTGGACCCAATGACAGTGGCACAAGCAACCGCGCCACCATCCTTGGACCCATCTGTAAATAAGGATTTATATGTATTATATTTACTTTTATTTGATTATATTCTTGTTTATATTGTAAGTCATTAGTTTCTGATTTTTAAATTTAGTGAGTGTTAGGTCGACTTGTGGCCTAAACCAATTGCCAAGGAGGAGAAGAAAGAAGACGGGAAGGAGATATATTCTCCAACTCAATGCCAGCAGCAGAAATATATTGTTGGATTCTTATCCCAAGAGGTGGAACAAGTGAAGGTTTTTTATTATACAAATCCTCATAAAGAGGATTAAAAACGCAAGTGTGAGCAGGATTGGATTCATTAGAATATAACTTTGTGATATATTGTAGGGACAATTTGATACGGCGAAGTTTTAAAGATGGCTCATCGGCCTCAACGTAGAGACTGTCAATGGGAGAGGTTCTGAAAGACCCAAGACAAAGTCTTAGACCCTGGTGATGGATAGAATCAAGTAGTTTGAGGTTGCTTTTACAGGCTCCACCATATACGATAGAGCCGTAATCAAGCTTCGAGCGGACAAGTGATCTGTAAAGGTGTAGGAGCGTAGCTTGATCCCCTCCCCACCTTGAATTAGACACGACTTTCAATAAATCGAGTGCCTTCAGGCATTTAGTTTTTAGGGATTTAATATGCGGAAGAAAGGTTAAATGGGAGTCAAAAATCAGACCCAAAAATTTGGCCTCTTTTACAACCTTGATGGGTGTGCCATTTAAAAACAGTTCTGGGTCTTTATGAGGCTTATATTTTCTACAGAAGTGTAAACAATTAGTTTTTGATTTAGAAAATTTAAAGCCGTTTTCAAGACACCATTTATTTATTTTATTTAAACACAACTGTAGTTGCCGTTCAATAGTATGCATATTCTTACCGCGGCAAGAAATGTTAAAATCATCCACAAAAAGTGATCCATCAATGGAATCGTTTAAAACTTGGATAAGCTGTTGATCTTAATGCTAAACAAAGTGACAGACAAAATACTGCCTTGTGGGACACCCTGATCCTGATTGTAATGGTCAGACAGGGTTGAACCCACTCGGACTTGAAATTGCCTGTCTTTTAAAAACTGTGATATGAAAAGAGGTAAACGACCCCTTAAACCAAAATCATGTAAATCCTTTAAAATGCCATGCTTCCAGGTGGTATCGTACGCTTTCTCGAGATCAAAGAATAGCGATACTGCATGTTGTTTATTGACTATTGCATTTTTGACAAAGGATTCTAAACGTACCAAATGATCAATGGTACTACGATTTTCCTGAAACCACATTGAATATTTGTTATGAGATTATTGGTTTCAAGATACCATGTTAATCGATTATTTACTATTCGTTCCATGGTTTTACAGACACAACTCGTTAAAGAGATTGGTCTGTAATTAGACGGATCAGTATGATCCCGGCCAGGTTTTGGTATAGGGACTACAATGGCATTACGCCACGAAGGTGGGAAATTCCCTGAAGTCCATATTTCATCAAAAATTTCTAAAAGGATTTCTAAACATGATTCCGGCAAATGTTTCAAGAGCTGATAGTGAACATTATCAGCTCCTGTTGCTGTATCGTGAGCTTGCTCAAGGGCGGTATGGAGCTCATGTAACGAAAATAGTTCGTTATAATCTTCACCGTTGTCCGAGTTAAAATTTATTCTTTTCTTCTCCTGTTGTTTCTGATACGTTTGAAACTCAGGGACATAATTAGATGAAGATGAATGCTTGGCAAGAGTTTCACCAAGTTTATTTGCAATGTCAGATTTCTTAGTCAATATAAATTATCACCGTCCTTCAAATGATGAACAGTAGATTTGGAACCTTTGCCCTTTATTCTTTGGATCATGTTCCACACTTTTGACATAGGTGTACGTGAATTTATTTTAGAAACATAATTTCGCCAAGACTGACGCTTATTTTGTTTAAAAGAACGTCTAGCCTTAGCATTAGTAATTTTGACCTTGTCTAGATTATGGACAGTAGGGTGTTTGCGAAAATATTTTTCGGCCTTTTTCCTACATTTTCTGGCCTGTTTGCATTCATTATTAAACCATGGTTTACGAATATGCGGAACTGCAGAGGACTTAGGAATTGTTTTGTCAGCAATGTGATTAAGTATATCCGAAAAAGACTGTATAGGATCTTTACTGTTCCTAAAAAGATCATGCTGCAAGTGTTCAACACACAGTTTCTCATATAATGACCAATCCGCCCTGGCGAAATTTCTCCTTGATAAAGGTGGATCATCACCAGGGCTGATTGTTTTGAGAATGGTGGGGAAGTGATCACTCCCACATAGGTCATCATGGACCATCCATTCAAATTCATTATATACGTTGGAATCAATGAGTGACAGATCCAGGGAAGAATATGTTCCCGTAGCTGGATGTAAATAAGTGGCTGAATCATCATTAAAATATACATAAATTATTATCGGAAATGAATTCCTCAAGGATTTTACCTTTAGTATTGATCTGAACACTTCCCCAAAGCGGGTTGTGTCCGTTGAGATCACCCATAATGAGGCATGGCTTCGGAAGTTGATCGTATAAATTTTGGAGCTCTGCCTGTTGAATATTAGTAGAAGGAGGTATGTACAAGCTGCACAGAGTTATTGCAATGTGTAGGGTCAAACGAACAGCCACAGTCTGAAGATTAGTATTAAGAACGACAGGACTATGTATTATATCCTGTCGTACTAAAATGGAAGCACCCCTGTTGCTCTATCTCCAAGGGGAGAATAAGAGTGGTAATCACTGTACCGTCTCAAATTAAAAGTATCTGTATCTTTTAGGTATGTCTCTTGCAGACATAACGCTGACAGTGTAAAATCTTGTATCAATAAGTGAACCTCATTAAAGTTATTCTGCAATCCTCTGCAATTCCATTGCATTAAAGTCGACAATTGAGTCATGGTGGCTCAATTGGCGATCGTTCACGTGAATGTGAGGAGGATAAGCTCCTCTGCCTGTCTTGTGAGGACAGAGTGACCTCCATGTCAAGAGGTCTAAATGAATTTTGGGAGAAACTCCGAAGATGAAGTGAGAGTAGGTTGGGTTATTTTCCTTTCCTTTTTCCTCTTCTTCTTTTGTACTGATCTGTTGCTGGTTGGGAGATAACTGAATTTGATGTAGAAGCTTGTGATGACACAGGCTGAATTTCAGTCTGAGATCCTGATGTAGATTGTCTGACTGGGGAAGTAGGGTTTGAGGTTGAAGATACAGGTTTTTCCGAGTTGACCCATGTCAAGTCAGTCTGGCATGCAATGGAGGACGCCTGCAACAGAGCGGGTGACTGCGGCAGAATAAGAAATGTTTAATGGCGGTGAAGACTGAGTTGTGAAAAGTTTCCTGGCTTCAAGATAAGAAAGATTTTTTCACATTTAATTTTCATTATTTTGGATTCCCTTAGAAACACAGGGCAGGACCTGGAAGAAGCTGGATGTGGGCCGTCACAATTGGCGCATTTTTGTATTCATTTGTGCAATCTATGTTTTCATGATGTTCACTACAACTATGATAACACACTACTGTGTTTAACGGCGCATGAGTGAGACCA